AAGACTTTAGTTTCAACCTCAAAAAAGAGCAGAAAAAGATTAAGATAAAACTGTTTTGAATGCTAGAAGAAAATTTATTTCGTTTCGTTTGTATTCATTTGTTTTCACTTCCATTACCATTTCCTATCGCTTAGTTTTACTTTTTAACTAAAAAATACAAGCAATACTTTAAATTCCTCATAACCTACCATCTTTGTCATACTTTTGAAATTTTTCATCCAAGTCATTTTCATCGATAGTTTCAAAGTGCTTTAAGAAGAAAGCTTCTATTTCGCTGTCAAATGAACTCATTTTTTTCTGTACTAGATTTTCTCTGAAAATCGAATATGTTTGTTAAAGGAGTATAGTGCAGGTCAACAGCGTTTATTCTCAGCATAAAACTCGATGCGCATTTTTATTCTAAACATCAGCAGGTACATTTAATTGGCTTCCCTAATTTACATCTGTATTCTGATTGGCTGTTGTGGAATGGCTTGGAAAGGTAGTAAACTAGATTAATTTTTAATTTTCCTTTTTTGACTCGTAAGCGGACTCCTAAAATACTTAATTTAACATTATTACTTTGTAAAGTACATTTAAAAAGTATGCTCTTGCAAATTTTGTTCTAATGGAGGTTGTTTCACTCACGTGAGAAGGCAACCATGTACCAAACAATAGAAACTTTCTGCGCAGTTAAAAATAGAGTTCAAATCCTGGAGGATTCAAAAATGTATTGTTTGGTACACCAACATGGCCGCTGTGACGTCACGTGAAAACGCTCTATAAGAATCTTAGTAATATGTAATTACTTATACTCTTGGAAGGCGATTAAATGCAAGTAAATGGTACAGAGAACCAGCGGTAAACAAAGAAGCTCTCTAGCTTGCACGTTATTGGTAAGAAATACATTTTATCCAAAAAAAAACATACTGCCAATAAACTGGTACTCGAATATTCTGGCAAGGTATTCAAGGCAGGTGTTACAATCATCACTTTTAGCTTTCATTGAAGCCATTAATTCTGTTAACCATATTGAGTACGCCTAACTAAAAATAATACTTATATATTCCTAAAAGTAACGCTTGTTTTTATGGTCTTTTTCCAAAACAACATAAGTGAAACATTTGATTATCGTTATTTTTGACTAAAAAAGACTAAAAGTGACATCATCAGTGTTAGCTACTGATTTAATAGGCCTCTTGTAACAACAGGTCACGTGACCCTACCCCCGGTAAAAAGAGACGTTGTGTCAAAATGAACACCAGAAATGGAAAGAGCATCTCAATATTAGTAAGAAGGCAAAGTTTCAGCTTATAATGTTGACTATAGGAGACATTGAATATAAAACCGAATATTTTATAAGGATTTGGATGAGAAAATGTGGCGAATTTTGCCATACAATATATTTTCCCATACAAATCCTTATAAACTATTCGATTTTGTATCTRAAGCCATTTCTCCTGTGTTACATGTTATTTTTCATTTTGACACAACATCTCTTTTTACCGGGGGTAGGGTAACGTAACCTGTTGTTGCAAAAGTCCTATTCTAGTCAAATCCAACCAGTGGTCTATCTATCATCAATGCTGCGTTCTGATTGGATGAGCTACTACTAGGCTATAAGTTATAGCCTACTTGTAGCGAAAAGTGCCGGCTTTGAAAAACAAAACATTAAATTTAAATTTAATTCAAAACTTGTTTTCATCGAATAGAATATCCTTTACTGACCGTTTTTCCCCTACTAAAGGACTACATACTCGTACAAGTTAGTCACCTGACAATTATTGTTTCTTAACAACTAAACTAAATTCAAATTTAATATTTTAGCTTTTGCTGTTTCTATGGTGACCACCTGTTCCCTAACGCGACACCTTAGCGTCCCTAACTACATTGAACCATGCTTATGAAGAAAGATAGAATATATATATATATATATATGCACTTATTTCAATAAAGGTAGTCACCAAAAACCTAGAAAGCTGAGATCACTGAGCATCATGGGACACTTTTCATATCAAAAAAGCATATATATACAAAGCTTTTTTAATACAAACTGCAGCTCGATGATGCTCAGAAGAGGTGAGACTGTAACCGGTAAAAAAATCGCAAGTCCATGAACAGTTATCAAGCGGTTGAACGTGTAAATGAATCTACCCATAATCCTTGTGGGCCTCAGCTTTGTAGCTTTTCAGGTGACTAACTTTATTGAAATAAGTATATATATATGTATATATTATTAAGGATATGAAAATCTTTATTTTATATAAATCCATTGCTGAGAATAGGAAATTGCAGCTCGCCTGTTAGCGGTAAAGTATAGAGATTCTTTTAAAAGTCAAAAGAAGGTTAAACCAACATGTTTTACCTATTGTAGCCGATACACCTCTTTCGATTGTCGTTATTCACAGGCATCCCAGACCTCCTATATATCCTATATTTCCTATAATTTGTATAGGATCCTATAAAGAGCCTATATTTAAAGAAAACCTCCTATATTTCCTATAAATAGGACGACTGATGATTGATACATTTATATTTTACACTGTCTAGCATATTTGCCGAAGGAAATAAAATGGCCCCCTTTTTTTTGTGTCTGTTTTTTTTAAATGGCTTTTTAGTTCTGCAAATCATTGCCTGTGCACAAGAGAAAATGAACTAGTTCATATTCTCTTGCTGTGCACCCTCCCGATCCCTGGTTACGCCATCGAAAAGCTATCTTAGCTCCTATAAAATGCATATATTTTTGGGAAAAAATCCTATATTTTCTTATATTTAGAACTTGCACAGCCTATATTTCCTATCATATTTGTCTAAAAAGTGGCTGGGATGCCTGTATTCAGTGTTCAGCATAATTGCGTTTTTTTGACATCTATTGAGAGAGAAAGATAGACGACTCGAACCGCTTAGTAATTAAAAATATTCACAATAAACTCTTCGTTCATTACTCCCCCTAATCAAAAATCCTTATTTAATATTGCTTAATTCATATTTCGTCTTTCAAATTTTTGAACATCATTTTATCAATTATTTATTGAAGTAATCGAGATGGGTTCAGAAGCGACCTGCGATAGCGCACGTTAAAACAAAAGTCAAATGTCTGCCAAAATTTTACAAAAAACAAATAAGCAAGATTCAAAATTCTAGTATAGAATTCGTTTCATAACCTTGAATTCCTATAATTATTTTTTTAATTTAGGAAGGTTGTTTTCCGCGGGGATTTGGAGGAGGGACATTGTATATTATACCATAAATATCCTTCAATTTTTTTGTTTTTTTCTTCAAAATTTAGAATCCAAAATGGCCACCCTCCCCCTCCCCATAAATTAGTGATGATTCCTAAATATTTTTTTCTAGAAGATCTGTAAGCCGATCCATCCCAGATATATCGTATGATTCCATTTCTACAGCACATGGCCTTATTGTAATAACTTTTCTAAATGCTATTTTATGGATAACGCATTCCCTGTAGAAGCTGAAGGCAAACATGAAGAATACAATAGTATTCTATAGTTATTCAAAAATATATATGGTTATGTTATGTGAAATGTGTTGGGTTAACCCGCCTGGTTTTGGTTTCTAAAGGGCTTATTATTATTCACCGTGGTGTCTGGAGCTGTAAAATTCACTAGTTTATTATTTATTCGCGAAAACACTTGTTAAAATGTCTGTATGAAGCGCTGGCTTGTTGAAGGTACGTTTTATTGGGGGAGGGGGCCGGGGGATTCGCAGTAAACTTTTTAAAGAATGGTTGTATCCCTCCCTCTTTCACTCAGTACGAAATTCATGAAAAGGAAACAGCTTTCATAAAAAAAGGTTTGATCCTCTATAAAATTTCAAATTTGCACTGATGTCCCTTCCCTCTGAAGCCACACACACACTCCCGCAATAAAAACGTATCTTCCTTTCGCGTCTGACTATCTTTGGTTACTATAGCAACTGGCCTTTATATACTGCGCCATTTTGATAGCTTCATTAGATACAGTTGTGTCCTTGGCGAACAACAAAAGAACTTAAGAAGACTAATCATACTTCTATGCTTCATCGATGACTGTTGTTTGTTTGTTTGAGTGCTACTCGCCAGCAGGGTATACCGTTCTAAAATTCTGAAAAATAAAAATTCTCAACTAACTTCTAAACCAAAATATAAGCTACAAATATTTAAAAAAAACGTTTAACAGTTTTAAACATTTTAAAACTTGTCTATTTGGATCGAAATCGCCACGAGAATCGGATTGTTAATGGCAATAATCGAGAGCAGCTGTTTCGAGGATCCTTTATGTATTTGCAATGACGCGCTTCAAACGTGAATATTTCGAACAAAATCATTGTCCACCATCCAGACTTTAAAACCTAACCTCTAGGGAGGGTATACGTTAGTATTTCTAATAAGTTTAATTTGTTTTGGTGCAAAAACCAATTCATTATATCGTTTTTCTCCCTGTACACGTTAATAATAGAGTGCATTGCCCATCCAATCGCATCCAAGTATATGTTAATCTAAAATTTATATTTTGTGTATTCAAATTCAGCCGACAAAAGCAGAATTTATTTTGATCAGCTTGGTTGGATCAGAGGTTGAAAAGTTGAGCAAGATGGCTGCGAAGAGTACTAAACCGTTCATCGATACCAAGGAGTTAACATCGACCGATTTTATTGCAATCTTTCGTAAATACGACAAAGATGGTGAGTTTGAATAAACCGTTCTAGCTAGAGCAAACCTTGTGTTAAATTAACATTGTGTCAAAAGTATTTTGCTATGAAGCTTAATTTTATAAATGTTAGGCTCACCACACAAATACATTTTGGATGAAATTTATTCACTTCGTAAAAGGATTTTTCTCAAATAACCACGTAAAGTAGAACGATTTTGGTTACTTTTGTTTGTCTTTTTTAAACTGTACAGGCTTTCCATTAAAACATCGATGTACCAGGTGATTGAAGAGCGTACACGTCCAGCGGAAATTGAAAAATCTTAAATTTTCTCGTTAGGAAAATTTATCCAACCGCTTTCCTTCTTTCATTTGGTTTCKTTTCGTTTCGATTTGCCTGAATACATTTCTCAAAAATTGAAATAAATTTTTTTGTGTCATTTTTTATGCGTTTTATTGGGAAACTGCAAATAAAATTTTGATCTCAAATTCCAAATCATTCAAAATTGTTTCTGTAGATGAAGAAGGACTAGTTTGATTTATCTAAATCAAAATCCAACACGTCTATGTATGGCTAGATATATTAGATTTGAGGCACTAGCATCTTTCCAAACTACAGCCAGTATGATCTATTTCCCGTCACAGGGGGGTATATAATATGCATCGAGAACACCTTTATTCGATATTCCCAAAAAGAAACACTTCGTTTATTTTACCCCCTGAAATTCCTTTTTTTTWAATATGGTAATTTGCATTTAGAAACAGACGTTTTGGTCAAAGGTTGCTGAAAAAAATTGCTTCTATAGATATAAATTATAAAAAGTTTTTTTCACTCAAGTTTATTAAGATTGGTTCATAGCTTTGCAGGTTGTTTTATTCCAGCATGAACGACGCACAGGAGCCGTCAAAAACCCTCATTTTTTTGTTTTCATCTTAATAGTATATAATTATAGCTGAGAAAGCAGGTGTAGCGGTGGTCAAGATCGTTTTGTTTTCCACTGGTTTTGTGGTGAAGATTGAAATAAATTTGATAAGGATTCATAACTTTACCAGGTTTTTTAGTAGATACATACACTTTATCCCCGAAAATTTGCAAAGATTATAATTTGAAGTAATTTATTCAATAAGTTCATTGAAACCTCCCAGTCAGTAAATATATTTTACAAGTAAACTAATGATTATCCCAGTACAAGTAACTTTGGTGCAATAAAATCTATTATCAGACATATTTATCAATCATCTTAAGATCTTAGCATGTTTTTATCTTATGTGAGGCGTTTTTCGGTTATTGAAGAATATTGATGCACGCCGCAGGCCATTTATACATACTTCATGTGTTGGTCTCCGTGTCAGAAATGTTCTCTCAGGCGACATTCTAAGTATTACTTTTTACAATTTTGACAGCTCTTGAGTGAAACTAAACATGTATCCACGCCTAGAGGAAAATCAAACTGTATTTTAACTTCTTTTTCCTGTAACATTTCATTATGTATAGAATACTTTTGGACATTTAGAAATCAGCTTTTTTCGATTATTTTTTGTAGACTTAAAGCCCATTGAATTCACCTTTTAGGCGCTAGCCGTCACGGGGGCATAAATTGTTTTAGATTGTGTTACGGTTACCAAAAAGTTCGGACATTCTCGAATTTCCGTTCAAATGTACTGACTCTAAATGAACTATTTACTTGGTTAATGTTTAGTTGGTTCTCTAAATACAAGTAAATAATCATTTTTCTAGCTTGATTGCAGCTTTTCTCACTGCTGTTAAGATAGCTAACTAAAGAGATCTACCTAACTTTTCTCTTTAAAGTCAGTGAATTTGTATGAAAATCCGAGAACGATGTCCGAACTTTTTGGTGACCGTAACACAATCCAAGCTAGCGCCTAGAAGGTGAATTGGTATGTATTAGAATGGACACTTGAAAGCTTTTATCAACAACCTAGATTATTGAGACTTTAAAGTAGAATAGACGTTAATAGTTAACAATAGTTAAGAATTTCTCTATCGGTATCTTGTCTTGCATCAAACTTGATATGAAACAGACGACTACCACTCTAATTGGTAGTGACCGCAGACCCTACATATCGCTTTCATCTACTCTATATGATAGTTTCAATACTCTTTTCAATAAAAACAATATTTGGCAATGTTTTGCTGCATTCGTTTCTATTCTGATTGGTAGTAACAGCAGACCCTAATGTCGCGGTCGACACTTCTTATTCGTTTGCTACCAACTCAAAAACCAATCAATTACGACGGGATTCCTGGAGCTTTTTGAGCACTATCTTTCCAAGATTATCACATACCACCAATTTTTCTTTTCTTTCTCAGATAACCATCGTACCCGCAAAACATAATCACTGGGTTATTTTACTTCATATCTTCAGTAATTGTGGCCAGCGAGGGAGTCAATTAGGTTTTATTTTTGTAGAAGAGACTATTGTCTATTGACTATTGATGCGAAAAAATCCGAGCCTGAAAGATCATATCACTATTATTAGCCAATCTCTTTTTGTGCTTTGAGACCATTTGTCAGACGATCATATCTCAAAAGCAACCGCGACAAAGTAGGTTTTGGTGGACGTCAATTAAGGCGTTTCCATGACATTCCATAGATACGCGCCAATTTAAAGCTTTGTGTTTTCCGACAATGTCATGTCAACACTTTTCTTTGCTAAATTCTTTAATTTTGACATATTACCTTGTTTGATGGAAAAGAAGTCGCTTGAAGTCGGAATTCCAAAAAATGAGTTTCTTCGGTTGGTCCTAATTTTCCTTACAAAATACATATCAATAGRAAGCTAAGTCTCCTGTGAAAATAGTTATTTTATTGGTTAGAGTTATATTAAAGATTATCGAATCTCATAAAATGTTTATTTTTGAAATATAAATATATGAATAAACCCCAACAACTGGACCGGGTGCAATGCTTTCACACTTAAGATCACGTGCAAACATCGATTACAGTTAGTTACGGATGCGCGAGCTAAACGTTCCAGCTATCATACTGACGATATTATCGATAAAATCGGTGATATCCTGTTTGATGGATCTACAAATACCTTCAAGCATCTTACAACTGCTTTTGAACTTGAGTGAGGGCCATATTTGAGGTTAACTGCAACGTACACCACAGGAAACCCAAAAACCTACCTCAGTGTAAAATCCTTCGCCAAAGGAAGCCCAAAGGCTTCCATCAGTCTCTTATTATATCGTGGTGGGTTGTCATAACGCGCCCGCCTCGTCTCTGTTCTTGTTAATGATTGTATTGTCTCTGCTGTCAGTTCAACCCCGTTGAGCTGCGCCACTGCTGTACTTGCAGTGAATAGTGAATAGCGATAACAAGTTCTTTTTTAACATCTTTTGCAGGTAGTAACTACATCGAAGCCAAGGAAATCGATGCATTCATGAAGGATCTCTTTAAGATGAAATATGGAAGTGTGAGTCTGTTTCTTTAGATTGCCCTATATCACTATAACGTCACAGCTCGTTTACACTCAATTGAAGAATCGTTGTCGGGTTCAGAAACATAGAACATAAAAGCTGAGACCAAAATGGCACATGGGAAATGACATATGATTATATTTAAATTTATTCATTTGCGCCATCCRTGCAGTAGGTTTATATCTAGAATGCCAAACGCGTATTAAAAACAGTGGATGATGCCACGGGTCGCCGGTCACAGCATGCAACTTCCCATATGCCATTTCGGTCTCAGCTTCTATGTTCTATGGTTCTGAACCGAAAACGATTCTTCAGTTGAGTGTGTAAGAGAGACAGTCGTGAAAAACAAAAAATTTGGACCAATTTTACTCTGAATTCATAGCTCTATGTGCCTGGTTTTCAAACAATTTATATACTGGTGTTTATCCTATATTGGTGTTTTTGGTGGATATTATTGTTTTTCTCAGCCCTAAAATTATAAGTTTTTCAAAGGTTTCTTTCTGCTACTGCTGTTTAGGCCCTCTCCCAAGACCACATTTCTTAGCGTTAAGACTGGATTGTTTTCATGTGACGCCATGGTGAAAAAAGTCAATAATCTTAGTGATGGCGGTGATGATGATGATGTTGTTGTTGATGATGTTGATGATAACGAACATGATGATGATGGTGAGCGCAATGATGATAAGGATAAGGATCTTTATGAAGATGACGATGGTGATGACGTTGATGCTACTGCTGCTGCTGATGATGTTGATAATCTTGATGGTGACAATAATCATGATCATCATGAAATTGACCATGATGATGGTAATGATTATGATGATGATGATAACACTTCGTATTCCATCACTATTGTAGAACTACAGCAGTGATAAAGTCTTGCAGCTCAAGGACTACATCATGAAGAAATACGACAAGAATCATGACCAGAAGCTTGACATTACCGAGGTACCTCACATCAACACACCCTTAACTGTATATACACCCTCTTGCGTCACGTGGGTCAATTTGCAAAGCATTAGCAAAACAGTGGTTTACGTCACATTGCGAAGTGTTACGTAATCCAGTGTTCAGTCTTCAGCAAAATAAATAAGAATTGATAGGCCAATTTTTCTCTTTGACAATGTGATTGGTCTGGCAGTGCCGAGACCTTGGCGGTGACCGTGTCTGAACCGTGTTTATGACGTGTTTCAGTTATTTGATTGGAAGGAGAGTAAATTTTCGCGCAAAATAATTGGTTTGCTATTGGCCTTGCCGTGTCACGACTGGATTCGTGACAAAAAGTAGAAGGAGTAAGGCAAAGCAAAGACAAATGTGCATTATATATAAAATATATAAGTGTGTAATATTAGTATTTTGTAATGTATATATTTTTTCTAGCTGGCCGAGATTTTGCCTGTTCAAGAGAATTTCCTCGTGAAACTCCAGAACAGAAAAACTGGAACCGCCATAGGCTCTCAGACAATGAGCAGTGTTGAGTTCATGAGGGTAAGTTTTTATTCCGCACAAAAACGATTTAATTTCGATCATTTGGCGAACGGACGGATGGACAAAGAACGGATGGCTGGATGGAAGGGAAAGGGCCGGAAAGATCCTGAGAAAACAGACGTCCTTTCGCTGCCCCGTTCCCCAAGGATGGGATGCTTGGATGTTTTGGTCATTTGAGCATTAAGAAAGATTTTATTTCCTTTTCAAATATTTTTTATAGAATCATTTTATTTTCTTATTCTATTAAGATTTGGAYCAACTATGATCAGTATCGCGAAGGGGTGCTTGGAAGGAAAGAACTAAGGGTAAGTTCAAGTACTAACGTTTAATTTTTCCATGATTTTAGTCAACGCAGATGGTCAAAATGACAAAATGGACAAAATGAAAGAAAAAGAAAGAAAGAAAGAAAGGAAAGAAAACGAGAGAAAAATTAAGAAAAGAAGAAAGGAAAGAAGAAAAGAAGGTGGCAAGGATGGGAGAGATCTGAGGAAGAATGAATAAATGAAGGAAGGAAGGAAGGAAGGAAGGAGGGGAGGGAGGGAGGGTTGTGAATAGCCATACTTTACCAACGGCAAAGTAAAGAATGCACAACTTCAACAATGCAACTGAATACTTTAAGAATTTCACTGACCTTTATTGGAACACGAGAATATTCTACACAAAAACGAGGCTAATCCTGAGCAACAAAGAACTCGAAACTGGAGGATTTTTTAATCTGTAATTTAAAGGTTTCCCGCCATCAGCTTATATTGTCATTCGCGCGGGTTCCCTGTGGACTTCCTTTATCGAAGGCCAGGTCTCTAAGCTAAATGCAAGATGGTGGACAGAGTGTTTCTTTGTAATATCTGCAAGTTTTGATTGATATTTTCGACATTTCAAAGCTTTAAATGGCAAAATAATCAACAGAAAGAAATCTATGTTCACTTTCAAACAAGGTAAGCTTACGAAATATGGATATGGAGTTGATGGCCATGCGTGCGAACGACAATTTTATCTTGAGGAAAAGTTTGATATGTGTACTGATCTGTAGACATCATGTAAACGCATTAATGCAATTAATATGGTGATGCATTACTATTGTAGGGATTTATAGCTGATATCTTACAACTCAATGGACAYACCCTGGATCCCAAAGCACATGAACCAGAAAAACAAGTAGATTGGCTGGTATGTGAGACAACAGTACTATGGTATGAAATATGGTCCCCTTGAACTAATCCCTGATCAGCTCCCGGTTGTACGAAGATTTGATAGCGCTACCCGACGAAAATTTTTATCCAGTTGATAAATTAAATGGATGGCAACATCGATTTAGCCACTGGATAAGGATTTATCCTTCGAATGATGCCCCGGGTGTCAAAAACAAAAGAATTCACAATTCTCGAGGATTGAAATCTTTAAATAGTCTTCATTGTTTTTACGCCAAGGTGTTTATATAATAAACCTGTTTTAGGGTTATGAATCACTAGTAGATCAGAAAAAGGCTCGAGTGTTTACTAGCAGAGCAGACATGACGTGAGTAATAGGTGGTGAGGTCGCGCAAATGGCGTCCTCTCTAAACCAATCAAAATGCAAGGATATTCATAGTAACCAATTTATTACTTATTACTTATATTTACAATAATAGATCAATAGCGATCAAAGTGCTCTGCTAGTTTGTATTCTAGCTCGTTTGTCTGCTACTTTCTGTGATATTAAAACAATGAAATGAGTGAACGATTCGATGGAGAAAGGAGTGAGAGAGGGAGGGAGGGAGGGATGGATGGATGGATGGATGGATGGATAGGATGGCTGGGTCAATGGATGGAGTACATGCATCAGCATGAATTCCTAAAATGCATACAATGCAAAAAATTAATGAATTAATGAAAAATGACGCAAAAGAAAAGTCGTAATATGAAGTTGATTATTATTTTTAGCTCCAAAAATTTGACAAAGATCGAGATGGAGAAGTGAGCATGACAGAAATTCAGGGGTAAGTGATTTCTTCTTTATTTGAGCGCTCTTTTTGGGCTATCTGTGGTAACTTTGCTGTCACCATAATATTGAATGCATTTATAGATGGTTTGCAATCATTCCTATCTAACACAATGAAATACAATAAAGAAAAACAGAGGCCATGACGGCCATTTTGGTTGATGTTGGTTGGATACAACAACAACAACACCTCAGTTTTTTGGCACTCCTTAAAGTAGCGAAAAGGGAGTAATATATGGATGGGTGCCAGACATTTAGAAATAGCAGAGTTAATCGACCTAAATGGCTAGGTCAATCGGAAATAAAATTAGTTTTTTCCCCCTTCTTTGTGTGTGTGTGTGTATTTGTACTCCACATCCAAATGTGACTTGAAATTTTTGGGTTTACGAGAGATTAGGATTTTCTGTAAGTTGAGTAGAGCCTGGGTACGAGAATGCTTTGGCCACTGGTCACTCTCTTGAGAATAAGATTCTTTGTTTGAATTGTATTGATATTCATATTTATGTATCTTATATACAACTGTTAARCAAAGAAATATACTCAAGGAAATGACACGTGGTCTGTAATTGGAGAGCCATTACAGCCAACCTAAAGAGGACTCAGCGGCGATGGGGCTAGGCAGGCAAGGATTGCCCCGTTACCAAGATTTCGTCTAATTTCGTGTTTCATCAAATTTACTATTATTTATCATTCTGCCAGATTCCTGAAGGTGGAAGATAACTTCCTGCAGCCATTTGATGTAAGTAGAAAAGAAAAGTTAATGCATATGATTCTTTCATCATCATCATCATCATCACCACCACCATCATTATCATTATCACCACCAACACCACCATCATCATCATCATCATTATCATCATTATCATTATCACTACTTGGTTAGCTCGGTTGGTTGAGTATCGTCACTGTTGTGCGGGAGGACAATTGATCAAGCCTCAGCCGGACCAACACTCAGCGTCATAAAGTAATTGAGGAGATGATGCTGCCTTAATATCTCCTTAATATCTGCTAATTGTCAGACCATCAAATCTTCTCAAATAATGACGTTAGATCCCGTCTGTCTTCACTCATTGCTAACCTGTATTGGCAGACGTTAAACGACCCGTTGTGTTGTTCACAAAATTAGGGGATTGTCACCTGGTACAACAGTCTGGTTTCGAAGGCATATTACTTACTCCACTCATGATTATAAACTGCATGGCAATTATGTTGTAATAGCAGTGCGTGAAATCCTCTTCTATTGAAACTGACATGCGCGTGGATGAGACCATCTTTACCATCAGAATCATCGTCGTCCATCCTCACTATTATCATCATTACCGTCATCATCATCATCATCACCATTATCATCATCATCATCATCATCACCATTATCATCATCACCGTCATCATCATCATCATCATTATCATCATCATCGTTATCATCATCATCATATCATATCATCAGCACTACTTCTTTATACAACACTCTTCCAACGTCGGTTCTACAATATCACTTTCTTTTCTTTTTACTTAGTATTAACGATGATATTATTCCATCTCTAGATAAGGGAAGGCCACAAGGTCAAGGACAGTGAATTTTCTAAGATCTGGTATCATTACGATAAGGTAAGGACTTAAGTGTAGCGACGCCAGGTTTCACAGTCCAACATCTCGAAGTGGTGAATTGTAGGTGGTCATGTCCGCAATTTGCGGGGAGCAAAACGCAAATCCTTAATATGTGTATTGATTTTCATACTTTAAAAAAATAACGTCTTCCGCCTTTTATTTCTTTATATTGTAAAAGAAATCTTTTAAAATCAGTTCGCGCACTTGAAGTGGGAAACCAATATCAAGTATCAACATATAAACAACACTCTTTCGAAAAAGACAAGTTCATGTACTTAAAACCTTAATATTGCTGAGATCAACGAAATCCATGTACTTGGAATTACGATTTCCGAAATTAATTGATATTGAATCGACTTCCCATTGTATGAAGAAGCTATTTCGATTCTACTTCTTTTTTTCTATTTCAATTCTACTTCTAATATAAGAGCCAATTTGCGTACATGCAGGAAAACCATTTCAGTGCTACTCACTTTCACGAAATATAATCTACTTTACATTGTGGAAAACCATTTTAGTGTTAGCCTTGGACATGAATTCAAAACCACTTCATTTATGAAAAAGCCGTTTYGATGTTAGCACCTAATGCCACTTCCTATATCCACTCCCACGAAATGAAATCTACTTTACACAAAGTAAAGCCATTTTAGTGTTATCCTCTGAGGTTAATTCCACTTTACCATAAGAGGTAGCAATTTGAAGGCCACTTTTAATTCGACCAAGTATACAGTGAAGCCTTTTCACTGTTCTTCACTCGCAAGAAAAGCCTTTCCAGTGTTAGGTATCAATTAGAGATCAATTCCATTTTTTTATAGAAAAAAATTAATGCCACTTCTTAAGCTACCATACTTGCAAGGAAACGTGTTCCCCAAATCCAAGGAAAGTTTTTTCAGTATCTAAAATTAGTCCCACTCTTCATAAGACTAAGAAGTCATTTTAATGCCACTTATGAACTGAAACCACTATACATGGAAAGCCAATTAAGYGTTATTCACAGCCAAGAGATTACGAAACATTAAGCCCATGCCATATACAAGGTATCCGTCAGTTTTTAATGCTACGTACTCCCCTAAAACAAATCCACTTAACATACAGGTCGATCGTCTCTACCACAGGGATCCTAATGCGTATTGATATGGTTGTTTATAGGACAGAAATGGATCTATCCATGGTGCTGAGCTAGATGCTCTTGTGAGAGACCTCTACATCAAAATCAAAAAGGTACTAGATACTTTTATTATGGCAGGGRAATTTTAACTCTTTAAAGATTTCTAATCCCTATGTTTTTTGGGATATTCTGTAGTAATCTGGCCACTTAACCCCTGATTTCTTAGTTATGATAAACTCATGGTAATCATTGATACGCGATTGAATGATAAGTGATATCTTTTGCGCGCTTCGTTCAAACATCAATGCYGTACCGTGACCTTGACCTTGGTCTTGACCTTGAACAAGTGCCTTGATTTTCTATGTCCATTACAGTCCACCTTGATTAGATCCATAACTCTAATTAATTTACCTAAACTTAATTTATATAACCCTTCCTCTACCCCTCTCYGATACAACAACATAACTTATTTTTATCGTCGTTGCTATGGTAATAGAGTCCTCCTGACATGAAAGACATCAATGACTGGCGTGACATGATAATGAGGTTTTCTGACAAGAACGGAGACGAAGCGGTGGCTAAGGAGGAAATGAATGACTTTCTAACTAAAGGTCTTTCAAATGCTCTCAAGAGACTTAAATAGGCAGCCAGTTAAATGTCCAGGACAGTCTTTAAACCTTCCCATAACACTTGATAAATTACTAGAAAGTAAACCTCAAACAAAACAAAAAAAAAAGGAATTTTTGCTCTTTAATGAATGAGCAGCTATCTGCCTTCCATTTTAATAAGTAAAGCTGTTACTGCACACGTAGAATTAAAGCATTTATCATTTGAGTGGGAAACATACGGTACTGACCGACAGCACGGTACGAGTTGCTGTAACATTAAAATGGCTTCCCATGAGAATGATACGACATGCCGTAACATTGAAATGGCTTCCCATTGTCTAGTAATTGATCCAATCTCAACGCGTAGTTACGGTTACGGTAAGAAACGATTCGGTTACATTATGCCTACAACGGATTTGCCGTATCGTTTCTCTCTCATTGAAAACCGCTTTAACTAGTCAACGCATTTTAAAAGATACACTTTAAACTTTCTAAACATTCTATTTAATATTTTTTTGTTGATAAATATAACACTATCATTCACTTGTTATTTCGATTCAAATAAACAAATAAATTTAATCTTAATACATTTTTATCGTCAGAAGAAATGTTCAATAAACATAAAAGATGAGATATATAATTGTCAGTGATCTGTATTCGGTATTTAACACTCTCATAAATTTCTTAAGTCCTCTCCGGCTTTCTGTGGTTTTTCGCTGCTCTCCAACACTACTGAAGGCTTTCAACTGAATATGGCGCCTACAGACCCTATAACCTTTACCTTTGGCGTTACAATTCCAATTTTAGACCACGTGGCTTTCCAATGTCAGTGCATTGGTGAAAGTAGTGGGGTTTCAGGAGAGCCATGTCGTAAAACAGAATAATAGAGCAGTTTTCGTATGACTGTGAAAAGTTCAGTGCCGTAAGCGTGAGGTGCCGTGACCGTGATGCTTTCTAGAATTTTAATTGGCTGATTTTTTCACGCGCAATGTGATTGGTCTGGCATTGCCGTGACCTTGGCACCGTGTTTATGCCGTGTTCCGGGTATTTGATTGGATGGAGAGTAAACTCTCGTGCAATGTGATTGGTCTGACGTATCCCTTGCCGTGTCATGGCCGTGTTCGTGCCGTGAATTTTTCACAGTCATACGAAAACTGCACTATTCTATCACGCCCCACAACATGGCTGCCATACTAAACATCAAAATTTTATATAATCACCATCAATATGGAGAAAAATGAGATTCCAAAATGAGATTCAAACGAATGATCACGCGGACTACTCCGAGATTGCTTCCCGGGAGCGTCGTTTTGATCGTTGTGCGAGTCACCACTCAACATCGTAGTTGTATTGGAAATATGGCTTTTGTCATGCCATGTTTAAATAAACTGGCTATTAGTATGACAATCACTATCTCTAAATCGACCTTAACTGTCAACTTATCCCTAGCATCTATCCTTATCGTTGTTTCCTACTGACTTTTTTACATAATTAATATACCTATGACATTTCATGGCTATGTTTCGGACCTACACAGTTTGTTAGCAATGGCCCTCTAATGGGGCGTAATGCATGATTTGCCCATTTAAGACCACGTGTCACTCTTGAGAATAAGATTCTTTGTTTGATTGGTATTCATATTCATGTGTCTTCTCATGTGCACCAGTTAAGCAAAGAGATATATACTCTAGGTAATGACACGTGGTCTGAAATGGGAAAACAGTGGATTAGCTCTATTATCGTGTGCGAGTCAGTACAACCATAGCACTCTCAATTTTTGTTTTGTTTTAAACTCGACCATTGAGCATGCGCACGATAAAACACACATCTGAGATCAAAATAGRACAAAGACCTCTTTGTACTTTAGCTAGTTCGAAGAAAGAATCCTTTGACGAGCGTGCAAACTGTGAACAAATCTCTGACGTCTATAGTAAACTCAGTGCTGTAGTAAGATCTTGAGATCATTTCCTTCGTGAAATACGTCACTTGAGCAAAATAACAATGTGCTCGAGCCAAATATGTCGTCTAGAGAAACTTTTCGTCTTGTCCAACTTGTCCGAGAGCAAATTTCTAGCTTTTCTCCATTCGCTCTAAAGACGATGCAGTCAGGGTCTCGCCTGTCCAGACATGCGCTTTAAGACAACAGACGACAGAAAATTTTCAATCTAAACACAGGAGACACCGGAGTTTCTTGAAAACGATTTTTTTCAGCGCGAGTCTAAAATCAGGCAGCCTCAGAGAATATACCACTGGATTAATAAAAGAATTGCTGTAATTCAAAAGCTTGCAGAAGTAGATGACATCAATTGGGGGTATGCAAAATAATTTATATTTYCTGCATCTGAAGACAATGATGTTGATGATCTGGAATGGTAACCACGTGACGATAAAGACCGCTGTCACGATGAATAACGTCAGAGCTAGTTTCTTCTCGCTATCAGCTCGACTTCGTGACCGCTCGACGTCTTTCCCGGTTAAAGCTTTTGTTTGCAGTTTATTCCCTTTGAATTTTCTCAAGGATACAGGGCTTGACCTGGATTTTCCGTTGCTGGGATTTGGAGTCAGTTCGATGCGGTCTTTTGATTTCTTCTCTTCTGAAAAGCTGTCAGTAGCGGATAAGCTTCCATGATGCTTGTGTTCGTCCAAATAGAGAGTTTTTGTTACTCTAATCCAGATGACAATGTAAGCCACAAGCATGATAAACAACGACAAGGCAAACGTGATGAGCATGAAATAGAAAAACACATCGTGGTCCAGGAGTTTGTAGTTGTAGAAGAAGTACAAACTAGACAAAACACCGGCCAAAATCCACACAGAGCTGACGAGGATGTAATAGAGTTTCTTTGTTGAAACTCTATGCTGTAAAGGATACGTTATGGCAAATACCCGTTCCAGTGCTATGATAGTAAGCGTAAAAGTTGACGCCAGACTACAAAACACATCAGAAGCTTTGATGTATTTAACAAACGTGTTGTCACTTGAAGGGCTAGCTGCCAGCTGGAAGATGTACGTAGGCACTGAAATTGTTCCCACCATTAAGTCTGCGACAGTTAATGACAGGAGAAAATAGCTGGTTCTTCTTCGTAGAAATCGCTTTCGTGTAAGAACTGAAATAGCTATCAAGTTTCCTGCGATAATGCACGCAGCAAGGACGCCGAACGACACACACCACCCTACTGGCTCAGGGAACATCATCCCGCCTGGTTGCGCTTGAGAACTCGAATTGTTCATTTTTTAATGTTTCTTTAATGTGCTGTCATGTAATTCTAAGTAGAGAGGATATTAAATTTGGTTAGTAGTTGTGACTGCATTGAAGGATAAAAAAATTTACAAGACACGAGGAATCTATCTGGTCTGTGTATCTGACTATTTCGGTCCTTGCCTAAATAAGATAACAGTGGATGGGTGGGAATGGCATCACCTGTAACAAATGGCATCCACTGTTATCTGGTATGGGAAAAGGTCGTTGTCTTACCAAGATAACAGTGGATGGGTAGGAATGGCAGCAACTGTTATGGATGGCATACACTGTTATCTGCAAATATGGTAAACGGTCGTTGTCTTACCAAGATAGCAGTGGATGGATGGGAATGGCATCAACTGTTATGGAAGGCATCCACTTTTACCTAGTATGGTGAAAGGTCCTTGTCTTACCAAGATAACAGTGGATGGGTAGGAATGGCATCCACTGTTATGGATGGCATCCACTGTTATCTGATATGGTAAATGGTCCTTGTCTTACCAAGATAACAGTGGATGGGTGGGAATGGCATCAMCTGTAATAAATGGCATCCACTGTTATCTGGTATGGTAAAAGGTCGTTGCCTTACCAAGATAACAGTGGATGTGTAGGAATGGCATCAACTGTTATGGATGGCATACACTGTTGTCTTGTATGGGAAAAGGTTGTTGTCTTACCAAGATAACAGTGGATGGGTAGGAATGGCATCAACTGTTATGGATGACATACACTGTTGTCTGGTATGGTAAAAGGTCGTTGTCTTACCAAGATGACAGTGGATGTGTAGGAATGGCATCAACTGTTATGGATGACRAGCACCCACTGTTATATGGTATGGTAAGGGATAGTTGCCTCGTCGCATTTTGAATTTTTTTCGCCCGTTGTACTATTAACTTGATGGCATCTTGATTGTRACTTCTTGAAAGCAAATTTTATTCCATAGAATCCGATCTACTACAAGGCCTTTTAATTTAACTCAATCAATTTCTGATCGCTTTTCCCCCCGAAGATAAACACATAAACGTAAAGACAATTGCTTACCTTCAAAGACTTGCACACTATTTATTTTGTTATCTTATCACATCGATTCGGCTTATTTGTATCCATTCTTATTATTCAGAATAAACTAGAAATACTAAACACTTTGTAAACCAACTTACGTGCTATACTAAACTAATGGTACTTTGAAGTCTATCGCCGCTAATGCACAATTTAAAAAAAATTTCAGATACCGTAAAAAAGTGTCAATAATAAGTCGCTAAAAGTTTTAGTCAAAAGTAACCGAACTTGCAAATTACATCGACACATTACTTCGTACTTAAGGAACAGATCTGATGAGAGGAAAATGCCTGTAAATTAATGTGGTACTTATGTAAACATGAAAGATGAATTTTGAATGCTGCACGATTTGTTTTCTATAATTATCTACACTTTAGCACATTCCAAATACTGTTTTTTTCCTCCTGGTCAGTCGGTTTTTCAGTCAGTACTAATCAGTAGAAAAAGATCGGCGTTCACAAGGAAGAAAAAGGCGGGAAATAACTGCGCATGATCGTCACCTGCAAAAGCGGTAAACGCGTTAACGACTTATGCATTTTATTACTTTAAGAATTACATCGTAAATATGTTTTACACGATGACAAAACTTTAAGCTATTTCATCTAAATCTCAATTCTTTTTAAACGTTTTTTTTTAGTAAAAGCAAACCTTGAACCCAAGAAGCAAGAATATATTCTAGCGTTTTTTTCTATTATTTTTAAATCGTATTCGTAATTGCCTTTTCTTGATGTCAAGCGTGAGGCAATTTGACAGTTTGTGAGTGACTACTTAACTTTATGATTTGTACGCAGTACTTAAGCTAAGAAAAGAAATCCCACCTTTATATCATACTGTAACTTATGGTAAACGCCCACAGCAGCCCTGACAATACAACGTCTTCTTGCTAATCAGTATACCTACGTTTGAACTTTATTTTTCCGTTTTTTTCTTTTGGATCGTATTTGGAGTCTCAATTAATTGTCTCTCCTCTAGTAACCGCGCTAGCTATTCCTACATTTTGTTWAAAATATTTAGAAAAGGTGCTGATATTGTTATCAAGCTAGTCGAAAATGTATTCAAAACTAGGTGAATTAGCAAAAGTGTTCGACGACATCGACTTTCAAAGTCGGTCTTTGAATAATTATTGCCAGTAATTTTTCAAATGACTGTTTAAAGCGTAATCCGCAATATTCTGGATACATCTATAGCTTTTCTTGATTGAACTAAGCCGGATTTTGTCTTATTTTCTTTATTTCTTTATCGAGTTCACTTGTACCATGCAATATTCTATGTTTCCGGGTTTTGATATTTTTCAGCTAATTTATAATGTTGGCTAGAAATTAATTAATCTTTTTAGAAAATTGCTTTAGTTCCTTTAATGTAGATTTAATYGTATAGTGTTTTTTTCTTCTCCACAAATTGCTTTTCGAAATTATTAAATTTACATTTTATTTTCTGTTGAAGTTTTCGAGTGAAAATTATTATAATTTATCATTTTATTTATCCACAGTCTTGAAATTTAAAAAAGCTATTTCTTTTACTTCGTTTTTTTCTCGGTATCTTTGAAAGAGAAACCTAAAATTGGAATAGTGCGAAAAATTTAGAGATCGTTCTGCAAGCTTCTAGACTTTATTGGATTATTTTTTATCAGTTTTATATCAGCTAAGATTCAGTTTGTGTCTGTCTTAAGCTCTATACTACTGCCAATATTGTACCCACATTTAAATGGTTTCCAAAAATCTTTAGGATTTATTTCAAAATAACTCGACTAAAACCACAAAATCAGCAGGAGCTTCGTTAATATTTCATTTCATTTCGATTCCTATTTTTCAATAGGCAACTCGCCTTTCGTAATTGCTCACCGAAAATCAAAATATTGCACCAATGCCCATGCTATACTTAAAGCTGAGACAGTTAACCAGTCAACGAAGGAAACTGTTTTTCTACGAGGGGGGCAAATATCACGAAGAAACGGTAATATTTACCAATTGCTACTAAATAGCGGTAAATGTACAAATAACATTTTGGTTTGGGGGCGAATTTCCTTAGAAATAACCTGCCTATTTTGTCACAGTAGACAATATAAAATTCAACTGGTTTTATAAATATATAGTGTGAATAATACAATGACGTTTTGGAAATAAATTCATCAATAGTAGGAGAGGAAAAAAACGTTTTCAAAAGACTTCTCTTCCATTTTTCGGCCAAATTTCAAGTCTATCTGGCAGTCCATTATAATTTTCACAAACGACAAATGCTTTAGATTTAATGATTTTTACTTACTTTGCTTGTTGATGGTCGAGATTCCAAGTAACCCTTCGAGTGGGCAATTCGTTTCGATGAAATATCACCTCAATATAAAAGTCGTCTTTCGTCACTCGCTCTGTTTCTCCGACAACCGAGGCGCTTTCAACAAGAATCAAAACACACAGGCCTCTTCTTTTAGTGTAAATACCAAAGTATACACAAGCCAAAGAAAGCTTAAGCTAATTAATTTYGTATTCTTAAGAAATTTGGGATAAATCATAAATACTAACCATGATGAATTTCGAATTACTGGATTACTAGGAAACGTCGAGGTAAACCAAAATCGCAATTAAGAGTTGGAATTCGAGATGTTCAACCTGGAGGTCGAGTCTCACTTGATAATCAGTTTTAAATTCATTACTAGCTGTTAATAGTGACATTTGAGTGTAGTATGTTGCCAATAATTCGCTACCCCCAACCCGTGTAAAGCGGGTAACAAATTTTAACAATTCACTTGTCATTTGAATCAAATTGATATTGATTAAAATAATTTATCACAAAGCCACAAAAGGCTCTACTTATATTTCCCTTAATGACGCGGTTTATAAATACATAATATAAAGTAAAAGAAAAACGAAAAGAAATTTTCTTTCTTTGGAATTTTAATTAATAAATTCAATAAATTCTCCTCGTTAGTAGGCAATAACGCTGACTTATCGGGTGAGAGTATTGACAAACTGTTCAAGAAAGCTATAAATATACATTCTACACCTTCATATTTCAAAAAAAATTCAACCAGTATTAACTACCTTTAATTCAATTTCCTCCATGCATCACTTATGGAGATAACACGTATATTAAAAATTATATCTTAATTATGATTTCCTAGCGTCATTTTTGTTATTTTCTGGCTTCAATTTGCTGACATGTTGTGAGCTATATGTCACGTAACAGATTTAAAGTTTACATTTTAGTTACCTCATGGTTTGGCAGGTAAACGAACGGGTGGAAAATTGTAATGCCGTCCAAATTAATTCACAAATCATGTTCACTATGTAATGTTTAGAATATGAGTGGTCGTTTTGTATCGCTAGATATAGATCTGAGCCGAAGATCTATATCTACCGATACAAAACGACCACGAATTAGGCTCTGGTTCCCCGATGATTCCAAGTTTAGCCACATGCGAAACATTGCTACTTGCAACAAATTTTGCTTCCAAGACGCAAAAATGTTTCTGCTGTGCGGCAGAAACATTCCGTGCTTCCAACACGCATGGAAACAATGTTTTCCAATGTTTCCTCGTTTAGTCACGAAAATCAACATTCTAAAAGTTCGTTACTTAGCAACGCTAGCTCTATCTTGAAAGTGCGCATGCCCTAACCGATATTGAGCAAACATGTTTTCCGATGTTCCGTGACAGTTTTGTCACCTTTGGAAACATTTAAGAAAGCATGTTTCTGGAAACATGTCATGTTTTGGAAACATGTTTCCTCGTTTAGCCAGGGACTTACTTCTAAAACGCAGTGTTCTATAAGTTCCAGTTGAATAGGCAAGAGTTCTCTAAGGCCCCGTCCACACGTATTCGCAAATTTTTGTATCCGCAAATTTTTTTTTTTACGGATACGGGTTGCGTCCACACGTGTCCGCAAATTTTTGTGTCCGTATCCGCAAATTTTACGAAAACGGATACGTGTGGACGATGAAAACGATTCGAATACGCTACGTGTGGACGCAAATATTTTCGTATCCGCAAAAAATAATTTGTGGATACAAAAATTTCCGGATACGTGTGGACGGGGCCTAAACGCTCCTGTTTGGTGACCAAGAGTTCTCTATGTGTTCCGGTTCAGTGAGCACTTGTTCATCAGCACAATCAGCCCTGATTTCCCCTGGGTCCGAARTCAAAACCGCCCCCGGGCTTTTTAGATTGTCGAGTTTCTTTATCGGGTATAAAGATCCATGCACGTGATGGATTTGAAGGACCTGATAGGTCTAAATGCTCATTAATTATTCGTGAGTTTTAGAAAGGTGGTCTGTCATCGTTTCTAAGGGAATAAACATGTTGGATAGAAATCCCACATATTGATAATACATCTTTCTATTTATGTACTGATTTCAATAGATTCTCATAATTCCATTAAACATAATGCATTTATACCATGGTTGTAATTTTTTACAATATCAGACCACATGTCCTTTTGAGAATAAGATTCTTCAGTTGAAAAGATATTCATATTCATTTGTCTCACTCATAAGCAACCCGGCGCTAAACAAAGAAAATAAACTGTTGGCCATAATGGCTCAAAGGAAAAAGTATATCGTCGTCAATAAAGTATAACACCGTTACCTAAACGACCACCAACCATCGGAGCAACTCTTCCGTTTCCAAGACAACATTATTCTGTGTCGTAGTATTTATATAAAATTTTATATTATTTGAAATAGTATTATTGGTATTATTGGCAGAAATTTAATAATATAATGTAAATAGTTCATCTCAGATAAAACCTGTTATACCCCCTATTTTTATTTTWTWTTTTTTGCTTTTGAGTTTTCATGTTATCTATTATACATATAGTATTTTTAAAACCTTTTTTTAACTATAATATAGAAATATATGCACACTGAAAAAATCCAGTCATGGATCGAAAAGTCTGAAAAATTATTTATTTAAAGTGAGGATGCATATATGCATTCATTACATACATTCTCAGTGGAAGCTGTTTGAAAACAGCTGTATATGCACAGATATATATCATAAAGAAACATATTTACCTCATAAAGACACATGCATGTATACTTACTTATATACGTGTACGTGTACATTCTATATATGCATGTCACTAGCTTAGTGAATTTCTGCATAAGCAWAGAAACAGTAAAATCTTGTTAACTTTAATAGCCGTGAAATCGCATAATTTACACGTTACCGTTATTATCACCAAAAGTTGACACAGTCTTCCTAAAAGATTAGCGTAACTCCCCCAAGAAAACACTCTCACCTCAGACTGATTTCAAGCTRCAGATCACGGCAATTTTAGAATTCACTAGAAATAAACTTCTTCATCAAACATTCATAAATGCATCCAATATAATTCATTTTTTCTCTCTAAAACATCTGACGACACTTAATGAGTTTTAAATTCTCCTAGAAATTGCTCTTTTTTTCCTTTGGACTTTACCGCCATGTCAAAGTAATGTCGATGATTTAATCCTATTTTCAAAAAAGGAAAAAATCTAATTAATTTCCCAGCAGCCGTTTTGTTAAGCTAATCCGTGGGCAATTACGTCAATATATGGCGTATACTTTTGACAGAGCARTTGACATATGACTTGGAGCTCTAGAATTTCATGTCCGTTTGTCGAAAAAGCTATAAATTATATTCTCTTGAATCACCACTTACCGTTGCTATTGTTAACTGTTCGTCACAAGATAAAAGTCTGAATTATTTAAGTATGAAATCAATATGAACTACGCTTTCGTTTATCTATACTGGTTCCTCGGTTTTACCTGTCCTTGTTGCCATGCCATAGTATATTTCTCTAAACAGTAAAGATTGAACAAAGTAACTGGAAGCTTTGTTTAAGTTCAAGGGGAGATTGGCAACAAACATGGTCTACATCGCCTTGTGGGGCTGAACTTGAATGCCGTCGTCTTTTCATCCTAATGCTAATCCAATATTCTTTTTCGGGGCGCGTGTGCCTTAGAATTTGGACATTTTGAAAACAGACTAACGGAAGATAACAGTGGATGCCATCCATAACAGTTATCCTGGTAAGGCAACGACCTTTTAGCACACCAGATAACAGTGGATGTCATCCATATCAGTTGATGCCATTCCTACCCATCCACTGTTATCTTGGCAAGACAACGACATCTTACCATACCAGATAACAGTGGATGCCATCCATAACAGTTGATGTCATTCCTACACATCCACTGTTATCTTGGTAAGACAAGGACCATTTACCAT